CAATCGGCTTAATATAGTCATCTCCGAGTATTGGGGTCAGCAAGATTGTCTTTAGTTCATGAATGGGTCCACTTTTATACACTGTACAATCGGCTTAATATAGTCATCTCCGAGTATTGGGGTCAGTAAGGTTGTCTTTTAGTTCATGAATGGGTCCACTTCTATACACTGTACAATCGGCTTAATATAGCCCTCTCCGAGTATTGGGGTCAGCAAGGTTGTCTTTTAGTTCATGAATGGGTCCACTTCTATACACTGTACAATTGGCTTAATATAGCCCTCTCCGAGTATTGGGGTCAGCAAGGTTGTCTTTAGTTCATGAATGGGTCCACTTCTATACACTGTACAATCGACTTAATATTGTCTTCTCCGAGTATTGGGGTAGTAAGGTTGTTTTTAGTTCATGAATGGGTCCACTTCTATACACTGTACAATCGATTTAATATAGTCTTCTCTGAGTATTGGGGTCAGTAAGGTTGTTTTTAGTTCATGAATGGGTCCACTTCTATACAGACCTATGATAGGGAACTCGGGTGAGATGTGTATCAACAAGCAGTTCAAAGTAGGTGAATTTGTCTGCTCGAGTCTGTTGATGTTAAACGTTACACAATTATCGCAGTCTGATTATGCAGTACCTCACTGACAAAAACCAGCTACAGCGCTAACGTAAAGTGCTTGATTCTCTACTGGTGTTAGAAGTTAAACAAGAATGCCAGTCTGATTATGCAGTACCTCACTGACAAAAAGCAGCTACAGCGCTAACGTAAAGTGCTTGATTCTCTACTGGTGTTAGATGTTAAACAAGTATGCCAGTCTGATTATGCAGTACCTCACTGACAAAAAGCAGCTACAGCGCTAACGTAAAATGCTTGATTCTCTACTGGTATTAGATTATAAGAAAAATAATAAATAGTGAATTAAGACACCTTCCCGCGTGAGTAAAGATTTGATACCCGAACATTGTGATGTCATAGTGGTTGAACTCGGCCAAATGATGGTATAATGATATCGTAACAACCCTCCCCACTTTCATCTTCTATCAACAAGCAAGGTTTTAATACAGATTTAATAATAGAATCAATTGGCTTGTACAGTAGCCAGGCAAGTATCTCATGGCACGTGACCACCCACACGTGCGGGAGTCGTCACACCATGCTGCCGTACAGCGTTGCTGTGATTTGTTGAGGTGTTGTGCCGAGTAGCCGCCTGCACGGGGCTGATAACAAACTGTATGTACACAAAGGGGGATTATACAGCGTCTCTGGCGAGCGCGTGTTTCTTAAAGATAAGAACAGTCTGTCGCCACGTTCGTTTCATTCCAAGAGAGACCTCCTCACAACAATTACTACTTGATAGTACTTTTCAACGCCCTCTATAAATAGATTGGCTGATCTTGTGATGGGTTAAGCAGGAATATGAATAAAAGGTTAATGGTGGTTTGTTTTTTTCTTTCAACTTATGACCTTGCTTGTGCGTTCGTAAATCGTTTGTTATATTTTTACAGACTCTTCACAGCTGTAAGAGTGCGATAAGTGGGTGGCAATAACTAATAAAAACAACAATCTGAGAAATTAACTAGTAACCACGCGCTTCTAGTTCTGACACGATCAGAACCGGCTAAAGAAGTAGGAGGTCAAGCAAACGGTTTCAGCTGGTTTCTTCTATTCGTTATGGAGATAAACGTTTTGGTGAAATACGATCAGTTTGTTTGTCATCAAGCACAAAGCTACACAATGGTCTATCTGTGCTCTGCCCACCACGGGTATCAAAACCCGGTTTCTAGCGTTGCAAGTTTGCAGCCATACCGCTGTGCCACTGGGGGTCAAAGACGATCAGAACCGTCTGTAGAAGTAGGAGGTCAAGACTAAACGGTTTCAGTCTGGTTTCTTCTATTCGTTATGGAGATAAACGTTTGGTGAAATACGATCAG